ACGCGAATTCGTCCTTCTGGAAAAAAAATTCTGTGTTTTAATAAATCTAGAACTACTAACGAGCAAGTTTTCGACCAATTCAAGAGAACCGAGCGTAATTTTTCAAACAGATGGCTTTCAAAGTTCTTGAAATTTAGAAAGAATTGTAGGCAGTAACATGATTGACTAACAGCAGTAGTAATTTTTTTTAAATTCTCCCTTATTTTCATCTACTGTATTTCCTTTCGTCAAAGTTTTTTTGTCTTCGAATTTTTTTTTTAATTATTCAAGCCATGAATTCAAAATTGATGAAGAGAACCTCTGGCAATATACATGAGTGAGATGATATTAAGAGAAACTTGAACTAATTAAAAAAAAATGTTTCCTGTCCGAATCCTTTTTCGTCAGCGCTAAAAATGCGCATTTGCAGCAAAAACGGAAAAGTAGCACCTTCCTTCTTACAATTGCGTCTGTAGAACTGTTGATCCTTGTCACGATTTTGATGATAACTTATCTTTTCTTCAAATGGTATTTTGCGAGAAGTAAGAAGAAAAGCAGCGATCTTTTTGAGTAACCCTTTCCAAAGAAGTAATTGCGTCTGTAGAACTGTTGATCCTTGTCACGATTTTGATGATAACTTATCTTTTCTTCAAATGGTATTTTGCGAGAAGTAAGAAGAAAAGCAGCGATCTTTTTGAGTAACCCTTTCCAAAGAAGCTTTAGTTGACAAGAAGCTCTTCATTTGCGACAACTGTGGCCTGAACAAAAGCGGAGAGAACAAAGGAAACACTCCCGTGTCATGAATACAACGGAACGTTCGGTGATGTCTTTCGTTTGCTCTTCTCCTAATTCACACTTTTTTTTCCTTCTCCTTCCCCCAACACGATCCCTGAAATGCAAAAAGGCATAATTTGTCAAAAAGGAATGGAGAAGCGGAAGAGGCAATTGGAGCACACGTGTTTATTCCGGGGAGGATCTGGTTTGCAGATGCTCGCACTAAAAGGAATGGCCCCTTTGTTTCTCGCAGGGATTTTTTTTTGGCTCTTCATTTGCATAAAAACCAGAATGAATGTTAACCAGGAAGCATTTCCCCTATTGAATGCCTTTTTCCGGGTCACTTATGGCGTCTGTTTGCTGCCGAACAGCATTTTTTTTTCGTCATGAAAAATGTTGAAATTCCGCGAGGTTTTTTTTTCCTGTGGTAATTTTGATACGAGATAAAATTAGAAAACAAAACACTGTCTTCTGAGAAAATCAAGAAGAAGCGGAAAACTCAAGAATGTCTCGAACGGTGGTCTTTGCTCACAAAAGGAAACAGAAACCATAATTCATTCAATCGACCCCCAAGATTGACACGAAACCCATGAATCACTATCCAATTCAGTGCTCCTGTGATGAATGTTTTCATCTGTTCTCAAGATACCGTACCTTTTTCTCAGTTGTGGTTTCGAAGGTATGAAGAGTCCTTCAAGAGAGAGAGAAAATGGTCACCCAAACCCTTTTCCGTAAAAAAAATAAAAAAAACTGAAAAAAATGAAGGGTTGGAGTAACCCGTGATAAATAGTTCTGCGTTGACGCTTGAGATCATTTTTCTAGATTTACTTTGACAGGAGATCCCAAAAACGCACAAGTTTGCTAAATAAAACAAGTCCAATTTCTTTAATAAACGTATACATGGAGTACTACTCGACAGAAATAACTTAGGTTTTTATGAAAAGAAAGGAAAAGGTTCTTTTAGGGATGTTATTTTTCCGGGGTCTCCAGGAAGCACCCGGAAAATCGTCGGACGGCAAAAAAATCCGGTTGACACTTATTTTCTTCTCCATGAAACGAAGCATTTCTAATTCTAAAATGTTTTTTGCTTAAAAAGTATTTCAAATATTGTTATGCCCGATCATCAGTCGCCTTTTTGGTAAAGTGTATCAAATGGTCGAATTTCGGCACAATCAAGTGAAGAACCGCAACAATTGGTTTAAATTTCAACTTGACCCTTCTAATCCGTGTCGCAGAAGACACAGAGAAAATAACTTCTTGAGTATTTTTTTAATGAGCGTATATTAATTATCATATATCGATATATATTTATGAGTCTAATAATCTTTCGAAATTTTTTGAAAAATGTTTTGACAACATTCACTTCTCGACAATCCAGCGCAAGAGCACTTACTGGATAATTTCCCAGAGCGGAAAAAAATTAGTTCATCGTATTTTAGCAGGGCATTCTTCAAAATGCCAAGNTTTTTGAAAAATGTTTTGACAACATTCACTTCTCGACAATCCAGCGCAAGAGCACTTACTGGATAATTTCCCAGAGCGGAAAAAAATTAGTTCATCGTATTTTAGCAGGGCATTCTTCAAAATGCCAAGAGAGACTTTTGTTGGCAGCAGATGCTGGAAAAGATTGACTGGAAAATAAATAAATAAATAAAGGAAACCAGTGAATGGGAGGGACCCAGAAAATCATGACGGCGTCAACACCATAAATTTTCAATTCGGCTGCGGTGGTCTCTTTGTCCGCGTGGAACAATGTTTTTCGACCATTGATGCTGATCAAAGTTGTGCTTCCGTTAAACAGTTCCTGTCCGAATAACTGTGCCATAGGAAAAAATATATATAAATTTCCCTTTTTCCCTCCGACACTTTTGTGGCTTTCTTTCAACGTGGGTGGTTGTAAAATTTTTATTTTTTTGGCAGATAACGTTTCTCATGTATACAGTACAACACTCAATCTATACCATAGAAAACCGTTCGGATCAGATGACGCAGTTTAGTGACTTATCAAACTCAATTCAAACGCTGTGATGTTCGCCTGCTTTATTTTCTTTTACGCTTAAAACGCTGATTTAAGTAGACAACGGAATCTGAAATCTAAATCCTCGAACAAGCTTGTCTACATTTTGTGCTTCTGTTATTATGCATCAGCGTGTTTTCATCAACCGTGATCCATTATATTCCAGCTCAGAGATACTGTATTTGTTGCTCTCGGTTTAACTCGAGGAAACAAATTGTGAATTCACATCAATTGGATGCAAAGCTACTGCTAAGAAGTAAAAAAAAGGGAAACATGAACGTGTACAAACCCTGCAAATTTAGCGGAATGTTTCATTGAACAAAAATTCATGCAAAGAAAAGATGTCCAAATACGGCGAGTGGAGGTTCAAAATCTACGCGCAAAAGAGTTGAATGTGATCACTGCCAAAATAATTCTGCGTGCACCACATTTCGATCTCTATATTATGAATACAAAGGTCAGTAGAGTATCTTACAACATTCAATACAGTACTCGTACAGGATCAGCGAAGTATATTCCGTTGAAATTGTGTGTTCCAAAAGAAGACCTTAACGTGGGATGATTTTGAAATAATTGCAGTAAAAAACCCCAAGTCTATGAGAACAGAGAAGTCCGGAAGTGAGAATCGTTGGAATTTCGAAGAAAAGAAAGCACAAATGGGTTGTCGTGTCTGAATGCGAAAAAGGCATCTTTAATTGCCAACCAGAAGCACACAAAAAAAAAAAACAACATGCGTTCAAATAATCACTAAAAACCTGTACAGTAAAGCAAATGAACCTCGATTAAACACAAAGATCGAGGCAACATGAATTCGGCACCATTATCTTCTATCCTCCGAAAATTGAGAACGAAGATTCAAGTTCTAACGTTGTCTTGTNGACTTGAAGCAATTCCTGGACCAACCACGCACTTCTGGGGCATTTGAAAGACTTGAAAAGGGGTCTCTTCGACATTAAACGGAAAGATTTTCAAGCTCCTATTCCTGCCATGCATTCCCAAGATCTTTCATTCGGGGTCACAGAGCGTTTCTCAACCTGAAATTTCCCTTGACCTTATCTAGATCAAGAAAGGTCAACCCAGTAAACGCTGGATAAAAAAAAAAAAAGAAGCGTTCCATAAAACCCCCTCATTTCGAAAAAATGCCGTTCGTTGCAAACAGAAGCCCCGCGAAACAAACTTCGTCTCGCTCACCGCCAAATGTCGACGCCAAGGGGGGGATTCCGTGTTGAAATTTGACTGATGGAGTAGCATGATTGATGGGCCGGCCCATTAGGGGCCGTCATATTTGTCGCAAACCCGCGAAACGAATCACGGCGGCGCCGATTGAATAGCCCGCAAGAACAAAACGGGAGGGGAAAAGAAAAAACATGGAGAAAAACGTTAGAAATCCGCCCACAACAGAACGGCGTGGGAATCAGACAGTCACGGTCGCATCTTCGCTCGCGAAGAAAGAACTGGGGGATTAACTTTTCCGGATTCTCTTTTATTGTCGCGACGAAAAACTAACGCGAAAGAAGATTTCATCCTTTGTGGTCTGAAGAATGACTGGGCGGGTCGGGATTCAACTCATTTTACGTCTAGACAGGGCTCTCAAATCATCCGATTCTGCAGGGGTCATCATTTACATCCTACAAAGTCCGGGCGATTCCTTTCTTCACGCAATGGACCATTGATGGTTGAGAAACAGAAGCTCGCGATTTTCCTCATGCAAAAAAAAAAAAAAAGCACATGTCCCTTCTCAAGCAAATAAAAATAGCAAACGAGGCTTTTGGCGGACGAAGTTATTATTCAATAATTCTGAATTCAGCCGATGAAAGTAAGGATCGCAGACGTGGGAACACTTTTTTTTTTTGAAATCATGCATGAGATTCACGGGACAAAATACTCCGTTTCTCATGAAACTAAATGAAATGCAAAGATCGCCTCGTTTCCGCAGTTCAAGCCTTCTCTCAACAAATATCTCAGGATCACACTTCCAAAATTACTGCAAATGCAAGAACCGAAAATTTACCTGAACCTTCCGAAGGCAAAAAGAAAACCCTCGCTGAGAATACAACTACGAATCGGAAAGTGCTCAGAACTCGATACCCCGTGTTGAGACTGTTGACATCGATGTCTGTGAACCCGAAGAAAAATCAACCCGACAAGAATCATCAGCCTTGTCAAACTTCGGAATCAATCGAATCTTCGGGCCAAGACAATTACTCATGCATCGCCGCCCTGTAATTAATTAGCCGCTAATTTGCTTCGCGGCGAGAAGCTCAAAGGAACCGAAAAAAAAACAGCTTCCATCAACCAAACGATCTTTCGTAAAAGATATGGTTTATCGCTCTCGCTCCTCAACCTCTCGGCCGCGCGAGTGAAGGGGAAAAAAGACTCGTATTTGCAGTTTCAAACAGAAACAAATAAGAAAAAAAATATGTGTGCAAAAACTCGAGCAAATACGTTTTTGCGCGTTCAACAACGTTATTGTCGCCTCCATGTGCAAAGCGAAACAGCGAGGTTGAAAAGATAAGAACTGTCTTTAACGAGTTGCGCGGACACGAAGCCGAAGGTGATTTTTCTTACGCCCCTCGAACTTGCTGTCTTGTTGACACTAACGACTTTGTTGTTTGTAGAATTCATTTCTTACTCGGAAAACTGGGTTGTAAAGGCTTACGAGGGGTTCATGTGTTTCAGGAGAAAGGGTGTATTGAAGACACCCCTTATTTAAGTAATATTCGTGACCACATTTTGCAAAAATATTCACAAGAAAATGCGTTGAAATTCAGATCATGGAAATCTCTTTTCCCCGGGTCTCGATTCAATTTTCCGCGTCGGAAAATGGACAGTCGAGAACATGACACATCCTAGAAATATACTGTATCTCAATATTCTCACCTTGATAGTAGACTCGGGCAAATTGAGTTCATTTGCCAATTCGCATCGCCGTGGTCGACTGATGTAGTTTTCTTTGACAAATTCCTTTTCCAATCGCCCGATCTGGTCTCGAGTGAACGCTGTTCGATATCGACGGATGTTCGGGTCATTCGGATTTCCCTGATTTTGAGGGTTTGTATTCATCGTGTCCGAACCCGGCGAATGTCGTCCACCAGGTGACAATTCTGTATTCGAAATATATTGAACGATAAAATATAGAATGAATTTCTTACTCGGACAGTTTGCATCCATAAAAAAAGAGCAATCCAAAAATGCAGAAGCAATGCTGGAGTTCATAATGCGATTTTAGGGATCCCGGTATCAAAAGGTAATCCGGAATAAATGAACCGAAAATCTGCTATTTAAAGCTTATAACCTGTTATTAGATGAGCCACAACCAAACCGGAAATAATCCGACAAATTATGAAATTAAGAAACATTTTAGACCGAAAAATAACTGGAAAAAGACGTATTCCGGAAACAATCACGTTTCTTTTCGAACCGAATTTTTGCACTTTATAAACGTGAATCAGCAGAAAGTGAAGGATCGCATTGTATATAACCCCGTCTTGCGGACGTTACTCGGAAATTCATTCAGATCAATACATATATACAACCCTTCAGTATTCTGCACAGCAAATAACGTACGATGAAATTGCTTTCATGAAATGCTTTGAATCTTACAGGCTCAGCCAGCCGAAGGGGATACATTCATCGATTATGATATATTTCATTCAATATATGCATAAATTGAAGTAAATTATCATGATTAAATCAATTACAGAAAAAAACGGACCACAACGACTGAACAGCATAAAAGAGTGCATGGCCCGGTTTGAATCATTCACAGAATCATCACATTATTCGTGAAAAACGACATTTTCTTAAAAGGATATCCAATGGATTATTATTTTCAGCGAATTTAACAATAGGTGGAATGATCACTGCAAAAAATCGATGCGAAATTATGTAAGGGTCGTGCGTTTAATCTCTCACAATAATCAGCAACCCAAACAGCGGAAGATCTACAATTCAAATATATTTTCAACTAAACGAGCATGCCCGTATATTAGTTCGAGTGATTAAGGTATGGTATAATTACAGCGTGGAAATATTCCCAACGGAAAAATAATTTTTTATGAAAAATTGAAGAACCCTCATGTTTCTCGGGTTATATTCGAGGGATAGCTGAGTAGACGAATAAGCAACCAACTAACCGTTTTCAGGGACTTTGATGCTGGCGGAATAAAAATCAGGAGATCCGGATCCTTCGCGGTCGGATTTACTGGTCGGGGCCATCCGGTCGTAACTCAGATCCTCAGCGAGTTTGGCTCGCTTATTGGCCTCGAACACAGCAGCGAACGGAGACTGCGCGCCATTCCCCGGATGCGCTTGCAGCAACGAATACGCATGCATTTTTCAGCACAATATTCCTTCCTCTTCCGAAACTTTTGTATATTCACACTTTTTTTTATTTCCTTCCAACACTCACTAAGTGACTGCGAAATCAGGGAACAAGATTTGCCGTCCGGTTTCGCTCACGCTTGGCTGTGCACTGATACTCGACCTCGGCCGGCAGTCCCGCTCAAGTATGCTGATGTGCGTGGGCGGGGAGGCGGGGCCTGACTCATGTCACCGCAAGTACAATGTCTATGTGCTGCGCGTCAGTGGGCTGGATGAGGGCTGCTCAGTCCTGCAACGGGATTGGGCGAACAAAGGGCGTGGCGTTCCAATATTCTCCCCTTCCCACCAGCCGACGGTAGAGTTGGCGACGCCATCAACCCCCGCGGGCTGTTGTTTTTTCACGAAGGGCTGCGTTTTTTCATTGAGTGACTCAATCATGCCCCAAATCGGCATGAATTCCGTGTACTAGCACCAGAATTACCTCCAAGCCCATATGTGTGAGGTCCTGGAATACTTTATGGGTTTCTTCTTCTGTTCTTTTGAGAACCACCGCTATCATTCAATTGCTCAATTCGCGAGAAACAAAGTTAAGTAAGACTGTATGACCAGGGAACACGCGTAGCATGTCTCAGAAAATTTCTCCGAAAGAAGCTATAAGATGGAAAAATGTTTCGGGGCTTTGAAGCGTTATTCAAACTGTTCCCTCTTTTTAAATTCCTGAAACAGATGTTTTACAATGCTTACAACACAAGTTCAAGAACACGGCCTCAATCATGCCTCAAAGCGAGCCGAAAGCAACAGTTAGTCACTCAAATAAACCGCCAAAAGAGCCGACGAAGTTCAAACAATGTTATTCGATTTCATTCCCCGGCCAACACTGATAACGTCTCGCACCCAGAAATCAGGTCTTTTCACTTCACAGATTTAGATTTTCTGGGGAAATGAGCCACTCAAGAAAGGACCGACACAAATAGCAAAACTTCGTCCCTACCTTTTTTGTTTTGTTTACAAATTGATGAATTGGTGCACGATTAAGATTTGCCGCACAAACTTGGAATTTTCAAAAATGTCAACTAAATCCGCGGAAGAGGTTCTGCCTTAGATGTTCAATCACAATTTTTTTCTTTTTTTTTTAAGTGAGAAATCAGTTTAGATTACCTAATTTTTCGAGAAAAAGCTGAATTTAAAATCTACGTCATTTGATCAACCAAAGATTGACCATTTTAAGTGTGCTTTTATTGCTTATTGATCAAGCTGTAAAAGCGTGGGTTTACTGGACAAATTTTATTATTCACGATTACAAGTTTTATCTTGAATTTTTGTTTCAAAAGTGCAAAGTATTTATAGAAAATTCGTAATCGTATCGCTGATTTCCTGACGTTCCGGACCATCCTGATTCTCCGAATGCATACGGAATTGAAGTAACTCTCACAATGAGTAATTTACAATAGTGTAGTACTTCGGATTTCTATAGAGCTTCCACGGCACATGAAATTCGAATTTCCTAGTGTACCTGAATACCCCAGGCGGACATTGAAAACGGAAAATAGCAGTTCATTCAACAACCAAAAAAAATGAAACATAGCGGTTAATAAACTGTTACCGCAAAAAAGCATCGTTGAGACACTGATGCCCAAATAACACAACTTAGTTCCTCAGGACTCGAAAAAAAAAGGCGGCTTTCATGCGTCAAAAGTGAGTATCTGACGCAAACAGGAGTTTTGAGTTTTGACACAGGGGTGAGGAAAACAGCGGCATCCGGGACCCAGAATTGGAACCCGTAGCTTTGTGGGCACAGTTGTCCTGTCATCGAAGATGAAAAGCGGGCTCCGCCTTCAAACAGAAAACGGTGACTCTTACGAGTTTCTTCCCTCATAATCATAGAGTATATATGCGATTATCGATGTCATTATCTGGCAGACTTGGAAATCGTTTTGATGTCTTCGGTTTCTAATAATCTCTTCGCATTTTATTCAGTACTGTATATCCGTAATCGGTCGAATGGCATCCGGAAAAATACTCCGCGGATGAGAAAACGTCGAAAATGGGTTAGAATATGCTGTGGGGGAAAATGCAGAGAAAGTAATCCCATCAGAATCATTTATTGACTTTGATCATCACCCAAAACAGAGTTTCATTTGGAAATGGAGAAAAAATGTTAATTTGAAAATTATTCTTTGAATTTGAAAATTATTCCTATAAACATGAGGAATCCCAACATATGGATGCCCCAACTCAAGGAAAAATTGAATTGATCCATTTTGAATTTTAAAAAATCAACCCAACAGCGTCAAAACAACTCAAGACATATGGAAAATTCTCAAAAATGGCCAGAAAATGCAATAAATGTCAATTTTTAAAAATCTGTCATCTTTCAAATATACTGCACTGAGATTTTTCCATGCTCAAAACGTCAATTAAAGGTTAATTTTAAATGTATAATTATTTTTTATTACAGGCTGATTATTGTTTTTTTATACAGATACTTCCCGTACTTTTTCACACATTCTAAGACTTTTCCAATTTTTTTCAAACAAGCAAACATTAAAAATGCGTTCATAAAAGTCTATGGCAAAAATTGATCAAACATGCAAATATTCTGACATTTGGACACATCTGAAAATTAATTATAACTGAATCTTTGGTCTCCGTGACAAATTGAAACTCCTAAATAAGCCCATGTGAGAAATTGATCAAATTCTGGCCACATGAGTGGAGCTGAATACTGAAATACTGCTTCAAGTCCAGTTGACAAAATTTCAATGAGACTGAAATTTGAATATAAATGATGGGAAAATCAGTCAACCTCCAAAAACTGGTTACACAATTTTTTTATATTTGGAAAAAGGACTGCTCGTACAGTACATCCAAATCATAAATCTGTAACTCAAAAATCCACTAATAGCCATAGAAAAAAATAAAGACAGATCAATAAAAAAGAATAAAATAATGGTAAGCTTCTTCATTAGCTACCTGATTATTTTTACTGACCAATAAACCAAAAGGTGAAGCACAAAAGCAATCTCATCTTCTGCCTTCGATGCAGCACGTGAACATCCGGTTATCTACCTCAAGTGTGGGTTTAACGGTTTTAATCGTACTTTCTTCCCGGCCACAGCCTGCCTTTTCTTGTAATAGATGAAAAAATAAGCCACCACGAAGTCTTTTAGTACCTTTTAAAGCGGACTAACTACTGGGGTAGCAGGTTTCAGATAATCTAAAAAAAAAAACGCCTGGACCCACAAAATTTCAAGGTTGATTTTCGGCGATGCAAACAAAAAATAACGGGGAATCAAGAATGGGCAGCAAGCGGAAAAAAATGGCACGCCGTTTGCGTGGCTAATTTTCCTCAAAACGCTTACTCCTATCTTCTCTTTCCCACAAATCACACTCAAAGTTGACCTTGCTGGAATTTCGCTTGCATTTCTGTTTTTTTTTACTGTATTCCTTTCTTGAGACCTATTGTCATTAAATGAACATTTAAACTACACGCTGTGCATTTTCCTGACAAATGATGAGAGATGTGCATTTAATTTTCCAAAATAATGATGTATCAACTGCTTCTTAATTTGTTCCAGATCACTTCATTATTTCAACGCCCAGTTGGGTGACATTTTTGAGGTACAGAATAAAAGAAAGGAACTAACCAAGATTATTTTTCATGGAAACACTGTATATATTAACGTATATAAAAAAATATGCATTGAAATTTCACAAAACGACTGAATAAGACTGGTTTATGAGGAAGTCAAGAAAAATTAGGTTCAAAAAATCGTGTAAAACCATCCAGATGAAATGAAAGGAAATCCTTAAAAAGCATGATGCTTATACAGTATGTAATTTTATTCCTTAATAGGCATGTGACAAAAGAATCACGAGGCATTTATGAAATGGGGATAAAAATATTATGCGTCAAATGTTATTTCCCCAAATTTCAATGGGTTTATTGCAGGCAAAAAAGGAAAGGGAAAGAGGAGTGGAATGATTGGAAAACAGCAAAATTTTGTTTCTTTCGATTCGGCCCCAAGTTTTTTATTTTTATTTTACAGCGCCAATAATCCCAAAAGTCATGGACTCCACAGCAACAAGGAATACAATCCTTTTCTCTCTTGCGAACCCCACGTTCACTGCCGGTCATCTCCTTCTTCATGCCGACCTGCCAAAGGAAAATTGGCGTGCCGAAATAAAGTGGGCAAAAAACGGAAGAAATCGGAGGACAAGGAACACTCCCCGGATTTTTTATTATTATATGCCGCGCATCTGGAGACGATCACTTGTTCGGCTTGCCTTTGTGTCTATCCTGACTTGTTTCCTGGTTTGGCCGGCAAAAAAAATCTTCAAAGGGCCGGACGGCGAAGAAGAGGAAAATTTGGCGAGAAAACGACTTCCAAGAAACGACCGCTGGCTGTCTTATTGGAACGTAAATCCGACTTCTTTCAAAATAGCAGGAAAGAAGGTCACCAAATATGTACAGATTTATCTTTCGAAAACTGGCTGTATCCCATTGTTTCACTTCAATTCAAGTTAATTGTTTGCGTAATAAACGACGTCTAAAAAAAAATCAACGCACATAATATTGTTCGAATTTTTTAACGCTCAGCACAAAGTAGATTGTCGAGCTCTTGTCATCGTCAGGCCGGTATCCAATTATGAACTTTTGGACACCCTTATTTCCAGTTTTGTAAGTCATCGAAAGCCACCGAAATTGTCAAGATGGCACATGACAAAGGAATGTGTTGAAATGGTGTTTTTCTGGAGTCTTCTTCATGGGGCGGCCCACGTTTTTATCAAACGGATAATTTAATCGGGACTTTGAGGCTGGGGTCCAAATGCGAATTTTATTAGTCCCCCCGGGGGTTTCTTCGGCATTTTCTTTTCATCCTTCTATGGCAGGGTTAACCTTGATGCTGCGCCAATTGCCTACTAACAGATGGGACTTTGTGACAATGAAAACCCAACAGAAGCTCAAGGTTTTTGCATGAAGAAAAAATGCGGAGACGGATAAATAAAAG